GGTGGCCGAGGTGCAGAGACCCAGAGCAAAAAGAAGGTAGGGTAGGCCTACTAAGGGAAAACATTGCATGGGGGTACTCACAGGCTAGGGTGCTAATTTGGGGTCTCCTTTAGTCCTGGGCCACAGCCCAAAAAGACAGAGGATGTGAATATGGATAGCTGATTTGGATACAACCACCACTGCTTCCCACAGGGAAGACATCTTTGGCACATCAGTTTGTGGAGGGCAAGTTCTTGGAACGCTATGATCCTACAGTGGAGAATAGTGAGTGGACTTCTCCCTAGGGGTGGGACAGGGAGGGCTTGGGTGCCCCACTAGACTCCATAATCTGGGATTTTCCTGATGTCAAGTGGATGATTTAATTTGACGATTTAATTAGACATTAAATCTAATCTCTTCTCTAACAATCCTGTTCTATGAGTGGAGCTAGAGGTGTGGATTTTGCAAGGTATTGAGTCCAAGATGTAGACAATAAGAACCTTAACATTGTCTCTCTAGTTTCCTGGAGAGCTCCCTGGATCTGGTCCATCTATGTCACCCATAGGGTTAAGAATGTATGGGGACATACATTGCTAGCTCTACAAGGCACCTCACAGTCAAGTTTTCTTTTCTTTTCAGCTTACAGCAAGATAGTGACTCTTGGCAAAGATGAGTTTCACCTACACCTGGTGGACACAGCAGGGCAGGTACTAGTTTGGGGTAGGGTATTTAAATGTGACGACAGTTCAGTTCTGGGAGATGAAGCCTGACAGCTTCTGTGGCTTATCTGTAAAGCAATATTAAAAGAAAAGCATTTTAGCATCTAGTAGAGTACAGCACTCATTGGAGCTACTCTATAAATGTTGAATAGAAGTAACTGGAGTAGGGAGTGTCCCAGGGAGGGTTCTCAAGATACAGCCCACCAACCTTTGCTATCTGAGTGTTGTGGGTCTAGGTATTGATCCACAATACCTGATGTTTCTATTTCTTGTCAGGATGAGTACAGCATTCTGCCTTATTCATTCATCATTGGGGTCCATGGTTATGTTCTTGTGTATTCTGTCACATCTCTGCATAGGTAAGTGACCAAGGTTGTGAGTGGGGGACTTTCGAGGATCTGAGAGCTGTCCCAGAATAAGGTTATAGCTCTGTTTCTTGTGTTTCAAGCTTCCAAGTCATTGAGAGTCTGTACCAAAAGCTACATGAAGGCCATGGGAAAACTCGGTAAGTGGGCCTGGGAGATAGAGACATAGTGTGGACTCGAGGGCATGGGAGAGAGCAGAGGAGGAATATTAGTCTAAATTAGGGAAGAAACTGGGACATAGATCCTGTCTGATGTGAGTTGTCCAGCCCTGATGTGGTGGAGGCTGGGGTCCTGTAGTAACTGTTGTTTCCTCACAGGCTGATGTGAGTTGTTCCAGCCCTGATGTGGTGGAGGCTGGGGTCCTGTAGTAACTGTTGTTTCCTCACAGGCTGCCAGTGGTGCTGGTGGGGAACAAGGCAGATCTCTCTCCAAACAGGTATGGAAATCTCTGCAGCTCAAGGTGAAGGAAAGTGACCTGGGCTAGGAATCAGTCAGACTCTAGTACTGGCTCTGCCACTGACTTGACAAGTCATTTCACCTCTTTTCATTTCTAACTTGAAGGTTAGAAAGACAAGATAACCCTTCTACTGCAAAACCTATAATTTCATATTTCAAGCCTCAGTGCTGGGCTTGTTTTACTATGTTTTCTCTTTCTGAACCTTGGAATTGGGATAGAACAAGTTTAGAGTCTATAAAGATTTTGCAGAGAACATGAGATGTTGCTGTCTTCCATCTCCATGTGGCAAATTTGTTTCCAGGGAGGTCCAGGCAATTGAAGGGAAGAAGCTAGCAGAATCTTGGGGTGCCACATTTATGGAGTCATCTGCTCGAGAGAATCAGGTAATGGGCTTGAGGATTAGGAAGATGATGGGGGTGGCAGTGTTTTTCTTATGGCTCTGTTTGGTGTTGGGGATGGTGGGAGAGTAGGGTATTCACCTCAGAGCTGGGTGGTGTTATTGGCAGTGAACTGACTTTTTTTGCCCTGAATCTCTATCTCTTGCAGTTGACTCAAGGCATCTTCACCAAAGTCATTCAGGAGATTGCCCGTGTAGAGAATTCCTATGGGCAGGAGCGCCGCTGCCATCTCATGTGAGCCTTCAGGCATGGGGTAGCTGCCTTGATTCTGCTCCTGGCACTTGCCAGGCTCCAGTGGGGGCAAGTCCTCAGGACTTCACGGGTATGGTTGCCAGCTGTGTTCCTGGACCTCTCGGGACACAATATGGTACCCTCATGTTTGCACACTTTCCCCAGGCTCCAATGGCCTGGTTGTCAATGTTTACAAAGGGGCAAGGATGTCTCATCGGCACTAGCCTCAGCCCTCTGTTTTTGCTAAATGAACTCTTATAACCTGCAGGGTTGTGATATGAGTCCTGGGCATTGTTTATTCAGGACCCAGTCTGCTATGTAGGTTTTGGGTATTGGCTGGGTGAAGGGAGTTGGGGACTCAAGTGGAGCTGGCTCCCTGGAGTGAGAATGTATATATGCAAATAAACTGAGAAATCTTTTTGTCATTGACTTCTCTGTATATGGGGAGCTCAGGGCTGATATTTCCTTTTCCAAGGAGTGATGAGAATGGTCTTTGGTGGGCTAATTTATTTTTTCCTATCTCGTTCCTATTCCTTAGTCCTTACTTATTCAGGACCATTACCCTAAGACTTACTACTTGCCTTTCCCAACTCTTTTCTACTGGATTCTCCCTATACAGGTACCTGTTGGCTGCCACTCCCATCCAAGTTTGTAGCCTCTCACCAGCCCCTTAACTACAGAAACACCACCCTCTAGTGGCCAGCTGCCACTTGCTGACCTAGCTTCTTTCCTGGGCATTGGCATTTGCGGGAAGTCAGAGGGTAGGATTTGAAGAAGAGGAAGGAAGCCTCTCATTCATAATGACATAAGAATTGAGGAATGTAGAGGCAAGGACTAAACTGTTTTGAAGATTTTGTCTTTCTAAGAGAGTTGAGTAAAGAAATAATCCTCTGCTATGTATCAATCCCCTTGTATACCCGTCTCCAATGCCTTTCATTAAAATGGATTTTCCTTGTTCTTTTCATACTTTTGGTGACCTTTTCTTACTTTTTACACCTTTGGAGTTGTGCTCCCTTTTTAGGTGGTAAGGCTATTGCTTCTTATTGACCGACCTCAATAGGAAGACGGATATTTCATTTAGGAAAGTTTGGTCCTATATACCTCTAGTTTCTGTGTCCCCTCACCCCTGCCCTTACTTCCCACCAGCCCTAGGACCTACTTGGCCAAACACCTCCAAGGATTTACCTGAATGGTATCCTTCACAAGGAGGGCATAGACATCTGCCAACTGGGGGAAACTAAGGTATTCTTGTCAATGCACTTAGTTGGGGAGGATGGACAAAATCTAGGTATGATTTTTAGCTGTGACCTTGTCAGTGTCTGGTTCCAGGATAGTTGGACTTACAGTTGGGGATGACTATCATGCTGGTTTTCAAAAGTCCTGCCAACTGCTTTTGCATCTCTTATCCAGAATCTAAAAAGAAATAAGGGCTACTGGAAGCAGCTGACTCCAAAAAGCAATCTCAGTGGTTTAGGAGTCTCTTTAGGGTTGTTACCACCCTCTCTCCTTACATTAAAATTAGGTCCTTTTGCACATCTGACCTGGAATACTCATTATAGGTACCTATTCCCCTGCTGCCATTTCCGTGAAGTCTGGGAATAGACTTACAAATGTCTGAGGTTTTCTAGAAGTGTATGGAGCAATCTCAAGGTCTGATAGCAGTACAGTGGTGAATGGCTGCATTGTAATAGTTACACTTTGCTGTCTAAACTTGAGCAGTCACTTAACCTCTTTGAGCTTCAGATTCTCTTATGAAGTATAGTTCAACTTTCATAGGGATGAGGTGAGAGTTAAACTGAGGTAATATATGAAATACTTAGCATAGTTCCTCATACATAACAAACCCTTAAGAAATGGTGGTGGTTGTGTTACTGGAGGTCTTTCTGGTGAAAGTTTACCTCCTTGCCTTTGGGTGCAGAAAGTAGGGAGGGGCCATCCATTTTCCAACTTCTATCTCTTGGTTTACTTATTCCATTATAGCTGGGACAGGTATGGGGTCACCGCTGGAATTTTTTGCTGAAATTGACCTTAGTGGTCAGTTCAGGGAACATGATGTCAGTATGTGTCTAGCACAGGACACACCTAGTCCTGATCCCTCATGACTCTGGCTAGTAGGGATTCGGTCTCCTTTACTGTTCAATATGGAAGCCACAAGTCACATATGGCTGTTTGTTTAATTTAGTATTAAAACTGAATAAAAAGTTTCTTAGTTGCACCACCTATATTTCAAAGTGCTCAATAGCTACATGTAGCTAAGTGATATTAGACAGTGTAGCTACAGTGCATATTAGATAGTGTAGCTATAGTGCATATTAGATAGTGTAGCTATCCGTCATTGTAGAAAGTTCTATTGGACAGTACGGTAAACCTTTTCCCACAAAATTGGCCCTGCACCTGATTTGCCTGCCTCTTTCTCCATATCTTCATTTAAAAAAAAAAAATATATATATATATATATACATATGTATATATATACATACATATATATACATATATATATGTATGTATATATATACATATGTATATATATACATACATATATATACATATACACACACACATATATATATAAACCTAGGAAAAACATGGCCATTGGTTGAATCATGGCTCTCTCCTCACTAGATGTTCGTTGGGCAATTTTAGTCTCAATCTTGTCATCTGCAATATGGACATAATTCCACATAATTCATAACGAGGGTGAGGTATAACTGAGAATATATAAAGTAGCTAACATATAGTTAATTTGTCTCCTCCTGACCATCTCAGGTACAGCTAAAGCAAAAAAGGCATTCCGCTCCTCATCCAGACTTATGGGATGTGGGGGGTGAGGGAGCGTGCCTGCAAGCAGTGTTTGGGATCTTGTCTAGACTAACAGTACTCCGGCCAGGTAGCAGCAAGTCTCTGAGGTAAAGCCCCTGTGTTTACCAAAAAAAAAAGAGACACAGGCCCTGAAGATCCGGAGAGACAGACTGCGGGTAGGAGCACCCGGGAAAGGAAGGGAAACTACATTTATGTTTTGATGGACAGGGGGGGGAGTGAATGGCCGCAGTGGGGGTACACTGGCAGTCTTTTTCCCTCACAAGGGTGTTTGAGAGTCAAGAAACAACTCGTTCCGTTTTCCTTCGGGCCCCTGAACGTGCTAAGAACCCACCCTTTGCAGCGCCAGGCGAGGTGCCTCACTTTCTCCATTTGCGGACTCCAGTTCCCAGGATGCAGAGCAGCGGCCAATCTCTTGGCTCTTCTTCCATCCCCCTCCCGGGAAAGACTGCCCCTAGCCATGGCAAGGGGGCAGTTGCAGTTTCAGGGACTGATAACTCCAAGAGAATGAAATCACAAAGTGACCGGAGTCCTAGTTTCCCCAGCAAGGAGGTTAGGGAGGTAGTTAGAGCGCCGGGACGAAGTGGATGGGGTCTTCATTCCCACGTGTCTGCCCAGCGGCCGGTCCGGCACCCGCGGGGTTAACGCGTGGCGGAGGGATCCCGCAGCGTGTGCGTAGAACTGCAAAGTCACAGCCTTTCCTCCGAGAGGGCTGTATCCCTCCGCCGCTCCGCTCCAACACAAAATAGGGCCGCGTCTTCGCCTTTCTCCTCTTCTCGAGTGGGGTTCCCCAGGCATAAGGCTCCCCCCGGATCTCGCACCGGAGGCTTCCTGAATCTCCACGACCGCTGCCGAGATCTTGGGCCAGGAAATAGCCCCTTCGCAGGAACCACCCTACCGGCCGAACAGGAGGCGGAGGGGGGGAGGCGGAGCGGCGCCGCGCTGCACTACTTTCCTCTCCGGTTGCAAATGGCTGCCTCGTTCCCCACTTTCCGCTCAGTTTCCTGACCCCCCGGCGCCGGGAGCCGGGGTTGGGCCATGCACCTCTAGGCCCCCCGAGATTACAGCCAGCCGGGGGTCGAGGGGGTGCCGCCGATCAGAGCCGGCCAGGCCGGGGGCGGGGCAGCTCCTGAGGCCAGAGGGGAAGGGAGGCGAGCGCAGGGCCTGGAGCGGCCGGAGGGGAGCGGGCAGAGGGCTCGCACCGCCCGCCCCTTCCTCTTCCTCGCCCACCTACCCTCCTCCCTTCCCCGGGGGGAGCAGAAGGTGGGGGTCTCGAAGCCGCTGAGGGCGAGCGCTCGGGGTCGAGGAGCCCGACGCTGGGTGTGTGTCAGGTTCAGTCCCGCGGCCCTACCGGCTCTGCGTCTCCGTAGCTCGCGCGGCCCCGGGGCGCCGGCCCGGGCTGGGAGAGGGGCTCGGCACT